CCTAAGTTGTTCTTAGAACCAGTCCCTTCCCTGGAACATCCCTAATGTTATCCTAGGACAAACCCTCATTATCTATGGCTTGGGCTAGTCCAATAACTTCCTAACCTTCTTGTCTTAACCTGTGCCCTTGAAACGAATTCTGCACTTTGCAGCCTAAGTAATCTATAAAATTCAAGTGTGCCAGCCTAAGGTACTTATCACGGCACACAAGACCCACCATAACCCAGCACCTATTATATCTCTTCAGCCTCTACTCTCACCCTCCAAACCTTGCAATTTATGCTCTGAAACATCCCAATCAACTTATATTTGCACATTCACTCAGCAGACTCTTACGTGTCTCCACGGCTTTGCTTACACTGCTACCTCCTGATGTGAGCACTCTTCAGGGCCCTCTCTTCCCCTGCTTCTTACAAACTTCTAGGTATCCCTAAAGACTCAGCTGAGGTGGCATCTTCTCCAGGAAGTTTGCCTTGAACTCTCCTTTCTGCTCCAAAGGCTGACTCTGATACCTCTTTCTTATTATCTTCCACCTCATGCTGAAATAATCTCTTTATATACCTGTGTCTGCCACTGAACTGAGACCTATTTGTGGGTAGGGACAATGGTTATGTGTTTTTGTTTTGTGCAATGATTGCAGACTTGGAGTCAGATACTCTGGTTTCAAGCCCCTCTTCTATTTACTAGCTCTGTGTCACTTTGGAAAATTCACTTTTTATATCTCTAAATTCAGTTTTCTCTTTTGTAAAATGAAAACAATAATACCTACCACATAAGGTTTATTGAATGAAAGTGTCTGGTAGCCCAACAAGATTTTATTTTTAACAAGGAAAAAAGAACAGAGGCTGAGTCCAGTTGAGTGAAAATGGAGGAACTGAAAAGAAACAGCAGAGAAGTGAAGGGAGCTGAGAGCATCTAAGGAAAGCACCTGTGATGATGTGATGAGAACCAGGAAGGGGCCTCGACAAGGGAAGTTACAAGGTCAAAGAAGAGTATTGGGCCATTGGGACTGGGAGCGACCAGAGGCAAGCGGGACAGGAAATGACGGCGTGAAGAAGAGAGCTTATGTAGATGGCCAGAGAAGAGAGAGGGATTAAGGGACAAGGAGCAGTCGCAGGGATGGGAGAAATGGCATTTACCTTGCCTGGATCAATCACAGAGTAAGAGATAGACTGAGGAGATGTGGTGAGAAATCACTCTAAGCTCCAACACAGAGGCCAAGAACTGTCCCACAGTTACCAGTACAGACCGGAGTTGGGGGTCAGAGACAGAGGGAACGACAGAGAAAGGGCTCTGCCATCGCTAGGGGAAGTTCAAGGACAGAGGACATCAAGGTAGAGATGACAGAAAAAGACCTGAAAGGGGGAGCAAGGAAGGAGGAGAGACACAGCTAGGTACTGAAAGCTCTTTGGTAGATAATATGTTCAAGGCTAAAGAGCCAAGTGAATTTTGAAAAAATGAGAATACGCAAGAAAGTCCCCAAGGAAGGTCTGAGGACTGACTTCGACCACGTCTGCACAGTGAAGCACAACGAACACTGATTTTGGATTCAGACACACGTGACTTTCTTCCTCAATTTCTTATTTTCTTTTTTAACTCTGACTATGTTCATTTACCTTTCTAAGTCTGTTTTTTTTTTTAAAGATTTATAAAGTAGGGATGAAGTCACATACCCGGAAAGCTTGTGCAGATTTAATAAGCTAATGCATGGGAGTGGTAGCAGTGTCTGGCACAGGTGAGCGCTCAATGAACGGTACAATCTGACATCCCCCTTTCCCTCCTGTCCTGTGCCTGCCTGCTCTGGGGTCACTGTGGTCTCTGGCCTCTGGTTTCCTGCACCCGCAGATGGATGTCCTACTGGTGAGTTCACCACTCTCATTCTCTCCCTTTCCTCTTCCCCAAACCACATCCATTCACTCAGAGCTCCTGGACACTAGTGACCAAAGTCAAAAAAGGTTTTGGTATCTTCCTATTCTCATTCTAAACACACGATTTCCCCAGGAGAGGGAGGAACCTTGTGGAGGGCGGTTTCCTGTCCTCTTTCTCCAGTGGCAGCATTATCTTCTGTTCTCTCTGGGCCATGCCCTCTTCAGCTGCCAGTTTTGAGACACTGCATTGTGAAGGACCTGTCATCACTGAGGACAGCAGCTGCCACTCTGATGATGATCTGACTGACCCAAAGGAAGGTGCCTTCCAGCTCAACAGCTACACTTTCAGTGAACCCTTCCATCTGATTGTGTCCTATGGTGAGGTCCTGGGAAGGCTGACCAGTTCCCCAAGTCCCTCCTTTCAACCCCACTCAGCTCCCACTTGGAAGGTACCCCCAGGAAACTGGCCATGGGATGAGGCCTGTTATTCTCCATCGTCAGCCCACAGAGGCTGGGGTACCCTCAGTCATAGGCCCTAGAAGAGCTGTTCCACAGTCCCAACCAGGCATGAGAGTTACCTGGACCTTCCCTCAAAGGAAGTTTAGGGGAGTCTGTTGTAGGTATCACCCGGGGAGCTCCCAAGGGAGGTAGAGGGTGACACTCAGTTCTTGCTTTGGCCACAGACTGGCTGATTCTCCAAGGTCCAGCCAGGCCTGTATTTGAAGGGGACCCACTGGTTCTGAGCTGCCGGGCCTGGCAAGACTGGCCACTGAATCAGGTCACCTTCTACCGAGATGGCTCAGCCTTGGGCCCCCCAGGACCTAACAGGGAATTCTCCATGGCTGTGGTGCAAGAGGCAGACAGCGGGCACTACCACTGCAGTGGCATCTTCAGGAGCCCTGGTCCTGGGAGTCCAGAAACAGCAGCTGCTGTGGCTGTCACAGTCCAAGGTGAGAGCTGGGGACAGCATCACCGTGGCGAGGAGGGTGACGACAGACAGGGAGCCCAAAATTGTCTTTCTTTGGACTGTAGGTGGCAAGATCATCAAAGGCTTAAGAAGCAAGTTGTGGACAAATGCCCAAGTTGGGTTTCAGGAGGGGTGAGATCTCAGCATTGCCTTTTCAGGTCGTTCAGCCCCACTCAGAGTCCAGCATGTTTCCTACCACCCAGATCAGTGCTCCCTGATTGGGTGTCTGGACTACTGTCAGACTGGCCCATCTCTGGATCTTTTCTAGTCCTGTCTACTTGGAGAGAGAGAGAACTTGAAAGGTTCAAACGGAGGGATCTGGATTATGGAGTGGGAGGCTATTTCCATTCCTGATGGACACAGAGGAAAGGAAGTGTGACTGGAGTTCTTTGCCTCTCCTGGGTCTACTTGAATGTAGGATGGCTGAGCTCTTCCTTCTTGCCCGTCTTTCCCCCAGAAC